CTAGGTGGTTTAGTCAAATATAATCATAGCAGTTAATTTCCTTTCTCATCTGATTAACTCACTTAGCAAGGCTGTCGCGTAACGGATGTTGCTTATTCCATAGTGTCCCCTTCATTTATTTATTTTTTATCATTCTTGACCAGTTTCTTTTTATAAGTCTTGATTACTTTACTTCAAATTTTATTACGATTCTTGTCTATGCGACTCAATCTCTAGATCGACTTTACTTCACCTAGGCTTGTTAAGATATATTGTTTGTTTTTTCTTATGAATTTTTTCGGTCAATGGTAATATCGAAAGTAATATCATTTATTATCTATGTATGATTTAGGAATTTGGCTTATTTTTAACTCAAATTTTGTGTCTACTCTTAATTTTTAGATAATATTCATCAGTCTAAAGATGAAAGGATGCAGAATACTTACGTTAAACCCAAATCTGTTGATGAATCGCAGTGCTTCCTTCCTGAAGAACCACCAGAAAATGATTTTATTGCCTCGGAAACAAAGGAAGACAATTTACACGGAAGTGGCCTAGGTCTCTCTTCAGCAGGCCAATCGGGCTCTCTCATTCACTTGTCTTCCAGTAAATCAATCGAACTGAAAGCAATTGCAAGAAAAGCAAATCAGGTAGTTATTTAGAATTTTGAGCTTGCCTTATTAACTAGCCTAAATGTCCTAATCATAAACGTTTTACATACTCCTTATCCAGCAATCTTTCTTATCATATGCAAGGGAAAATTTCATTGAACTATTCTCCATTGATAAACCTTGTCGTAACTGAATAATCAAATTTTAATAGATTACAGCGAGTGAGTACCACAAACAATTAAGAATTATTTCAAGATCATTAGAATTCTACTAGTTTCCACAACAATCATATAAAATTCATATTTGTTGCCCTTTAGTCATCGGTGCCTACATAAAATGGGATTAGTACACAAAGTGTATATAAAGTTATACCATTTTGTTTGCCTATGCCTCTACTGATTTAACTAAAACCTATTTTCTGTATAATCGCATAAGTTCTCCATCGATAATAAGAAAAGTGTCAAAATAGAAATATACTTCAATAACCATTCTTTTGCATTCTAAACAG